TCTGTGCTGGAGATACCCTTCTGGGGCAAGACTTGCTTCAGTGGGGCTTTGGTGCTCACTGAGTCTGCCCCCTGAGTGTGTCCCTTATGGATCTGAGGAGTTGTAATCTGGATGGTCCCACTCTGACCACTGGGTACACTGGCTCTTGGATCTCTAAGGAGGTGCTAATTTAGCCTCTGCCTGAGGCTACCCAGCAGGAGCTATGGAGAGATCTGCAGATTCCTCTTCTTTGTTTGGGGTTTGGAGGTGCCCAGATGAGGCCCAGCTGTGAAGCAATGCAAGCTGCTGTGGGGCCTTGGGCCTTCTTTTGGAAGTTCTGGGTCTCTCTGACCCAGCTGCAGTTTGTTAGGTAATTTTCAGATTGCATAGGGCCAGGCCTTTCATATGCAAAAGCCTCTGTGCACAGCTTGGGTGTGGCAGGGTCTCAGGGAATCAACAGGGTGGAGCAAACAGCTATGGCTGATCCTCAGCCCTACCCTAAGAGGCCCCTGGTCTCAGTGTCCCGGTAATCGCTGCAAGCACCTCTGAGAGAAAGCTGCCCTTGAGTTCCGACCGATGCCAGACAGTCCAGTTTCTCCCCGTATGAGTCTGGGTCCCCAGAGACTCGCCTAGAAATGGAGTTCAAAGCAGCCGGGAGCTTGAGACTCCCTTCCGATTGAAAAAGAAAACAGTGTCCTCAGTTGCCAGCCCTTTCCACGTGCGCCTCCGTACCTCTGCACTTTACTTCCACACCGCACCTCCTCTGAGTCTCAGTGTGCTTTTCTCTTTCCTTCTAGTTGTAGAATTTCCACTCAGCCAGCCTTCCTGTAGTTCTGGATGATGTCCGTTTTGTCTTTTAGTTGTATTTTTGAAGTATTTGTGCGAGGCAGCAATTTCCGGTGTTTACCTATGCCGCCATCTTGGTTTCCCCTCTCTCATCGATGTTTCTGACTCTCTTCCTCTCCCTTCTTCTCTAAAATATACTTAAATACATACATACATATATATATATATATACACACACACACACACACACATATATATATCTCCTTAAGGTACCACTAGGTAAGTATCTCAATAAACATGAGAGGAAATGTTTAATTTTTGTTTTCAAAAAGTACAGATTAAAACAGATTTGGAGGTCAGGGTTCAATTTCTGGTCAGGGCACATGCACAGGTTGCTGGCTCAATCCTCAGTGGGAGGTGTGCAGGCAGGCAGCCCATTGATGTTTTTCTCTCATCGATGTTTCTACCTCTCTCTTCCCCTTCCTCTCTCTAATATCAATAAAATACACACATACATGTATACATATATAAATTATGGTTTTGAAAATCATATAGCTACATAGAAAAATACTTCTAGTATAAGTGCAATTCTATTGTCTGCTATTTATTGAGTGCATATGGGGTGCCAGCCAAAAGTTGGGCCCCTTTCATAGAACTCTCATCTTCACAACTCTAAAACAGAGTTACCAGCAGATGTGAAAAATAAGATTCAGATACTTGCTTAAAGTCACTGGATAAGAAGCTAGGATTTGAACAGATTTTCCTGTCCTCAACCTGTTGTGCCCAAAGGAGGTATATACATAATTATTCTACTATGTAAAGGGAGGGATGTGGTGTGAAAATACCCAAAAATGCTATTTATTGAGTGTCTCTGGGGTGCCAGCCAAAAGTTGGGCCCCTTTAATAGGAAGTTACAATGGGTTGCAATGGGAGGATTATAGGTGTTTTGTTTTGTTTGATCTTTTATATTTCTCCATACTTACTGCAATTACTTTTATATTTAAAAAGAAAATGTGGAATACTAGAACCTTTATAACAGCAGAGCCTCAATTTCATGACGTGCTATAAATCAGTGATGGTAAACCTTTTGAGCTCGGCGTGTCAGCATTTTGAAAAACCCTAACTTAACTCTGGTGCCGTGTCACATATAGAAATTTTTTGATATTTGCAACCATAGTAAAACAAAGACTTATATTTTTGATATTTATTTTATATATTTAAATGCCATTTAACAAAGAAAAATCAACCAAAAAAATGAGTTCGCGTGTCACCTCTGACACGTGTGTCATAGGTTCGCCATCACTGCTATAAATGTTCTTTTATTGGTACTGAAAGGTAGTTGGAACTATATAGTGTATATGCAGTAGAGAGTTGACATGGTGTGAACATGTACCTGCTCACTAGCTCAACTTTATTCTTGCTCATCTTATCCCTTTAAGTAAAAACACTTATTGAAACAATAGTAATTTTTAAAAAATTTTATTTACACAAGATATGGATGTTAGAGAAAAGAAAAAGCTATTCCAAATCCTGTCACCCTAAGAGAGAAGTTGTTTTTTAAAATATGTTTTTAATTGATTTTTAGAGAGACAGGAAGGAAAAGGGATAGAGTAATAGAAACATTGATGAGAGAGGAACATCATCAATCAGCTGCTTCCTGCCCAACCCCCACTAGGGATCGAGCCCACCACCCAGGCATGTGCCCTGACCAGGAATCAAACCAGCAACCTCTTGGTGCCCAGGTCAATACTCAACTGCTGAGCCACACCAGCTGGGCAAGAGAAGTTGTTTTAATAAATTGTCAAATTATTTCCAGAAGTAACTTTGTATTTTCACCTATAGCAAATGAATATCTCAGTTTCACCACAGTATCATCTGCCACTGTATTATCAGCAGATATACTTAAATAGTAACTCTAGCTTAATTCCTAGGGAGAGCATAATTGAAGGTAGTTTGAGAAAAAGAAACAGCATTCAGACCTTTCCCTAGAACTGGGTTAGAGACCTGTTGCCTAAACCATCATGTAAGTTTGTTTCAGGGACGAATATAAAAATTTGAAGCACTGATGGGTAAAATCCATACATCCTTTGAAAAGTGTCTTGTGCCTTCAGAACAAAGAGAAGCATTTCAGGACTAAATCACCACTGCTTATCAACTTGGATTAGACTGAAAAAGGCTTGAATCCTAGTTTACCAGTGTCTCACGTTTGGGGTTAACAGACATTTTCAAAGGCATCCAAGTAAATTATATGCTTATTGATTGGATAGATAGAAATCCAACTCGGAACAATTGGAAAGATTGAATATGGACTGAATGTTAGATATTATGGGATTATTGTTCATTTTCTTAGATGTGATAATTTAATGGTTTTACACTTTGGAGATTCATGCTGAAATATTTAAAATCCTTCAAATGATTCAGCAAATACATATAGAGAAAACAAATATGGGAAAATGTTATTGATTATAGTTGGAAGATGTACAGATGTTCATTGTATTCAACTTTTCTGCATGTATATCTGAAATTTTCTTTTAAAAGCTTGAGGAAAGATAAATTTTTTAAAATAACATGTTAAATGTATTTTTTTTTTTAAGTTTTGGTTTCAGTAAAATTCAGTTTCTTGAGCGTACCAGAATGATCAATATAGTAAGAGTGGAAGAAAGTTCCACTAGTTTATTGCCAATCAAGAGGAATCAGCTTTAGGGACAGACCACAATGAATGTTGGGCAACAGAGTAACTGGTTGGACAACTGTTCTATCTAGGCCAAGAAGTCTCACGGGGAAAGAAATGCCAGTTTCTAATTTTTCCTTCTTCAACCAGCACAACAGATTTGTCCTGGACTGTAAAGACAAAGAGCCCGATGTGCTGTTTGTGGGGGACTCCATGGTGCAGTTAATGCAGCAATACGAGGTAAAGTGCAAGTGATGGGGTGCTGTGGGCTACTGATGTAAATGCATGCAGCAATAACGGACTTGCATTCTGAGCTGACACCCTAGAAAAGCTCTAGCTCAGAGTGGAAGGTAGCAGAATGGTGCTCCGTGCGCTAGGCATAATGAAACTAAAAGGTGGCATTGTTTATAAGTAAACTTCTTTTTTTTTGCCTTGGCTTCCAAGAAGCTTCACATTACATTTATTGTATTTGTCCTAGTCATGATTTTCAATTCTTATTTGTGTTTTACTATTTTCTTATTTGTATTTGCTCATTTATATTTGTCTTAGTCATGATTCTCAATTCTTACTATTTGTGGTTTACCATTTTCTTATTTTATGTATTTTCTTAGTGAGCTGTTCCAAAAATAATTTTATTAAGGTTAGGCATTCTTCCAAGGGAAATTTAAAAGAGAAGAACTTTATTTCTTTTTGGCTCCAGCACTGTAAATATCTTCATCTCGTATTTCTATTTTACCCTATTCCTTTTCAGTGGTTCTCAACCTTGGCTGCACATTAGAATCACCTGGGAATCTTTTTAAAATCCTGATTTCTGGGCCTCATCCTCCAAAAATTCTGTTTCTTTGTTATGGGGTGGGGCCACAACATTAGTAACAAAGAAACAGAATTTCCGGAGGATGAGGCCCAGAAATCAGGATTTTAAAAAGATTCCCAGGTGATTCTAATGTGCAGCCAAGGTTGAGAACCACTGCTTTAAATGATTGAATAAAGGGAAGGGAGAGTTAATTCAATTGGCAACTTAATTATAAGTATTGCTACCTCTTAAGGGGCAACAGGTTGAGTTGTGACTTTCTTGAGTTGAGACTGAGTGCTGCACGGAGAGCTGAGTTGTACAGTAGCATCTTCCAAGTCCTTCACCGAGTAGCACACCACTTGCAGTGTGTGTGTGAATGCAGAAAATGAGATTGTTATTTCAGGTCTTGTAGCAAATTGCAATTGGGGGATTTTATTTCCCACGAATTTTAGCTTAAATAAATCAAGTTTTTCTCTCTTCAGATATGGCGAGAACTTTTTTCCCCACTCCATGCACTGAATTTTGGAATTGGAGGAGATACAACAGGACATGTTTTATGGAGGCTAAAGAATGGAGAGCTGGAGAATATTAAACCTAAGGTGAAATGAAACTTATTTTTGAAAGAATATCATTAATCTTGAGTCTTTTTCAGATAGTCAAATTGTCTGAAACTAGTAGTAAAAAAAGTTGCTTCTTTAAAGCACTATTTCACTGTTCTTTGGTTCGTGCCCCACTAAGATGAATGATTGTTATTTCTTAAGAACATTCCAAATAAACATTTAAGAAATCAGCCCTAGCCAGTTTGGCTCAGTGGATGGAGGACCGAGGACCGAAGGGTCAATTCCTGTCAAGGACATGTACCTGGATTGCAGGCTCGATCCCCATACGGGAGGCAACCAATTGATGTCTCTCTCACATCAGTGTTTCTCTGTGTCTCTCTTCCTCTCTTCCACTCTGTCTAAAATTCCGTGAAAAAAATATCCTTGGGTGAGGATTAACCAAAAAAAGGAAAGAAATCAGTGTACGTGCTTGAATGGTATTTGTAATTGTTACACTCTTCAGCTATAGGGAGAAAGGTGTGGCTAATGAGGTGTGCAAGTCTGTGAACCTGAGGCAGTATGTGGGGTAAGCTGCTCAGAGGTGGGCCATGGGAGCAGGGCCAAGATTCACCTCCGGAAGTGATTTGGAGCTGTTTCACCATATAAGCAAATTGGTAATCAACGCCTCCGAGATCTTCTGAAGAACAGATTTGAAGCAGATGTGAGCAAAGGTGCACCATAAATGTACCCAGTACCTTATCACATTATACACATCTTCCATGTTCTTTTCAACCTCAAAGAAAGAAGCAAAGCTGAGCCACTGATATCAGCTGCTTTAGTTTTATTTTACTCTTTGCCTCTCTATTAGGAAAATTCATCCAGGTTCCTCTCTTTTGTGATAGTGTGGAAAAGTAAGATGTATGTCTCTAGGTGATAGACATACACCTAGAGACATTTTTTTTTTTTAAAGAGAAAACCTTGTTAAAACTTCAGCTTCCACCCCAGTGACTTCCTTGAATGTAGCTGTGTACACTCCCTTGGGTACTTTAGTACTTCTAGTCAGGGAGACTTTGTGATACAGGTAACAAATATTTTTCCCCAGATTTTTTAGATCTCATTTTATTTAAATTTTTTTGACATGCACAGGTTTTATTTTTAGACATTGAATTTGTTACGTTTTCTGTAGAGTTTCTGGACTTTAAGAGATTAGCTTCCAACTCCATGATGATGAAAGAATTCTCTTATTTTCCTTCTGGGAATTTATCCTGATATATATGAGGTGTGACTCAGTGTTTTAAGGTGATTGCTCAATTGAAGTTACTCAGTACCATTTGAGAAGTTCCTTTATTCCTGCGTGTTTACCCCTCTTTTTCTTCCCCCCTAAATTATAGGTCATTGTTGTCTGGGTAGGAACAAACAACCATGAAAATACAGCAGAAGAAGTAGCAGGTGGAATCGAGGCCATCGTACAACTTATCAACACAAGGCAGCCACAGGCCAAAATCATTGTATTGGTACGTAGTCTTTGGGTGGGTGGAGACCTTGATGCAATTAGCTCAGGTGAGGAATCTTAGAAATGTGAGGTTCATGAATATAAGGATCTTTAGGTGGAAGCAGGTTATGATACTCCTGAGAAATGCTTTTCTGATATCTTCCATTGTCTTACCTGTCTCATCATTCCCATACCAGCTTTGGGGTCATCTTTTATCTGGTCATCCTTGTTTAGAAGTGGAAACCCTCTTTGTTGTCTCAGGTAGCCTTGTTTTTTAAAAATTGTTTAACTGTCTTCTAATAATTTTTTAAATTATATATGAGACTTGTCCTAGTCCTGAGTCTCTTTTTATTAGCCCTGAGTTTGGACTAGTTTAGATGTGGTGTGTTCTGTGTCCCTGTTAATATGTTAAAGGTGGTGTAGTCATTGGATCTCTGAATTCTCTGACACATCTGAGATTCCATCACTAAGAAAATGGGTACTTCATAGTCTTAACCTTAACAGAAAGTGCTACCCTTTTAGAGTTAAAGCAGTGAGTCTTCATGGTCTCAGAGACAAACAACCGTCTGTTTCATAGATAAGTGTACCTGTAGATGTCCTTAGCCCAACTAAAAAAGTATGCTTTAACATGTGAGAACTACTATGTGCAAAGTACTGTCCTACATCCTGCACACACCAAACTGAAAAGACATAGTACTTCTCAAGGAGCTCACAGCCTGGCGGGTGGACAGTGGTATAAAGAGAGATTTATCACACTGTATACTAATGGGAGTAAGGAGAGAATGCTGTGTTTTAGACATAAAGTTGATGTCTGAGTTTAGTTTTAAAGAATTAATTGGTCTCCAAACGGGGATTGGAAAAAAGAGAAGGCATTACAGAGGACAAAAGAAAATGATCAAAGACTTCATGTATGTGTTTGTTGGGTGAGTGAGTGAGGGTGCTAGAAGAATTTCAGGGCTGTCAGTGGAAAAGTGTGAGACTAGGATTGTTAAGAGGCCACAGCCAGGTCATTTCGGAATTTGTATGCCATGTTAAGAGTTTGTATTTTATCTTACAGATGCTGGGGAACCAGTTTGTTTTCTGAAAATATATTTTTATTGATTTCAGAGAGGAAGGAAGAGGGAGAGAGTAATAGAAACATCAGTGATGAGAGAGGATCATTGATCAGCTGCCTTCTGCCCTCCCCTCACTGGGGGTCGGGCCTGCAACCCAGGCATGTGCCCTCACCGAGACTCAAACCATGACCTCTTGACTCACAGGTTGACACTCAACCACTGAGCCACACAGGCCAGGTGCCAGGTCTTTTAAAAATTATTTTTATTATGTGGTATTTCGTGTCATTTAATTTACTTATTTATAGCTTGCTCTGTTCCAGAAAGGATTATATTGTAGTAATGAGTTCTGAAGTACAGTGCCTAGTACATAGTACTTGCTTAGGACATATTTATTGCATGAAGTTGTTGAATAAATCCTCCATACATATTCTTTAGTTCAATCAGACTTAAATTTGATGTACAGTGGTTCTATCTACAACACTAAAACATTGGCAATAACCTAACCAGTCAATCCCATGGGGGAATGATTGCACAGGCCATTTATATAATAGCATTAATCATATGACAATTATGAGAACTGCATAAAAACAATTTGAGATGTATTTAAGTGAAAAATTTGAATAAACTATGTATCTTTTCTTTAGAACTACTTAAAAGTATATATGCAATTGGAAAAGGCAACAATTAAAATCATTATTATATGGTAAAGAGATTAGGAGCATAATATTTTTTGTGGGTTTTTTTGGTTTTGTTTTGTAAGTGGAAGTAACATTTATGGAGGGATAGATTGACTCCCTGCAGCAGGGAAGGGGGCCCAAAGCAGTTGCCAGTGAAGCTTTCTCTCAGGTTTCAAAATCCCATGCCGTTAAGCTAGTCCTGGAAAGCGAGGGTTCCAAGAGAGTGAAAATCGGGCCAGTGTCCAGAGCTTCTGTTCCAGGTTGTAACCAGGTATAGTTCAGTCTTTAAGCTAATTAAAGTCCACTAGTCCATGTGTGGAGTCCCAGGTGGCCATAAGCCACATGGGCACAGGGGAGCCAGGAACCCAGTGTGCCAGAGAGCGACGAGCTATGTTTGTTTTAACACAGAGATGGCGAATCTTTTGAGCTCGGCGTGTTAGCATTTTGAAAAACCCTAACTTAACTCTGGGGCCGTGTCACATATAAAAAAATTCTGATATTTGCAACCATAGTAAAACAAAGATTTATATTTTTGATATTTATATATTTAAATGCCATTTAACAAAGAAAAATCAACCAAAAAAATGAGTTCGCCATCACTGGTTTAGGATGACCTCATCTGTGACTTTTTTTTTTTTTTTAAGAGGAAAAAGGAAGGAGGAGGGAGAGAGAGAAGCATCAATGTGAGAGTGAAACATTGATCTGCCTCCTGCACGCCCTCCTGGGGATTGAGCCTGACCAGGAATCAAACCAGCAACCTTGCTGTGTATGGGACGATGCCCAACCAACTGAGCCACAACGGCCAGGACTCATCTGTGGCATTTTGAGGCACTTAACAAGGATAGAAGAAGATGAACGAGGGTAGCAGAGTCATGATTCTCTTTTGGAACTAACTATACAATCACACAATAAATTGGTAATCAAGGCCGCAAAATTTTGCTGAAAAAAATATAAAACAGGCATGAACAAGTACTTACTCTGGGCATAATAAAAATTATCTTTTAATAGAATACCCACAAAAAATCTTATTTTTGTGAAATAAGACCTCTTACTGTACTCTGTAGTAGAAATAGATGTCATCATTAGCTATTAACCAACTAAAAGGTTGGGGATGTCTGACAATAATTTTATAGTAGATTTGATAGTTTTTTAAAGGCCATTTCTAGTTTGAGATGATAAAACCTTCCTCTTATCATATAAGACCAGGCTTTTATTTATTATAGAAGGACAGATACCTGCTTTATCTGAGAATCATATTTTAGATCATTAACATATAAGTTAAAAACAAATTTAGGACACATCTCTGTTTTAACCTACCAGATATTTTGTGTCTCTGATTTATCAAGACAGCATTTGTTCCACCTGTTTCTCATGTAGGTTCCAAGTGGCATTAACAAATAGGTGTGTATTTGAGCGAGATCATTCTAGTGACTGTTGAGAATGATGTGAAGGAAAGACAACATTGGACATAGAAAGACCAGTCAGGAGATTTTACATTAATGGAGGTGTGAACAACTAGCCATAGCAGTGTATATAATCAGAATGGAGAAAAAAGAATGGATTAGGAAAATGTTTAGGATACAAAAGCTGAGTAATCTAATGATAAATAGATAAGGTATGAGGGGTGAGAGACTTAGGGGTGTTGGAATGACCAGTTGATATAAAGAATGTAGAAGGAGCGTAGTTTGGGGGAAGTTGGGCTTGTTAAGTTGGGAGTGCCGCAGGAGCATTCAAGTTTGCTTCTGTAGCTGATGTTCAGTATGTAGTTCTGAAGCTCTAGGGAGAGATCTGGGCCAAAGTTTTTAGACTGGGAAGGACAGTGAGCCAAGGAGAATAAGAATATCAATGATTCAGGGACAGGCAGAGGAAGAGGAACTCCTGGAGAGACTGAGAAGGGATGGTCAGAGAACTTTTATTCAAACCAAAGCTGGTCCAGTGTTTCAGAAATCAATGGTGTAGCAAGTGCCAAATAAGAAGAGCAGTGCCTCTTCTCATCTTGTTCTTCTCTGCTCTGCCCCAGGGTTTGTTACCTCGAGGTGAGAAGCCCAACCCTTTGAGGCAAAAAAATGCCAAGGTGAACCAGCTCCTCAAGGTTTCCCTGCCAAAGCTTGCCAATGTTCAGCTCCTGGATACAGATGGGGGCTTCGTGCACTCGGACGGTGCCATCTCCTGCCACGACATGTTTGATTTTCTGCATCTCACAGGAGGGGGCTACGCAAAGATCTGCAAACCCCTCCATGAACTGATCATGCAATTGTTGGAGGAAACTCCTGAGGAGAAGCAAACCACCATTGCCTGACTGGCTCCCATCAGTGTTCATTGCATCCCCGCTTCCTGAGATCAGTTATGTCACTGGCACTACGGAATCCTTCTCTTTCCTAAGGCACTTTGCGTTGTAGAATGTTCCTGGATGTTCATATCTAGTGTTTGAAAGGGAGGAGGGATTGAAACTGGTCCTGTACATAGGTTTGTTTGACACAGGAGAAAAATTAGTTAAGGAAGATGGTTGTTTAAATTCATTTGAAACCAGAAGGGGACTTTTTAGTTGTATGTGTGACACATTTATTGAATTATCACTGTTTTACCTAGAATGACATCAAGCCTAAGTACTGAACAAAGTGAAGATTCTTTTCTTGGCCTTTCTTTCTATGGATTATGTCATATATAATAATGATCAGAATCACACCTACTTGGCTTTACAACATGGTTTTTTCTAGTTTTTAAGGTTCATAATTTAGCCTTTTGTTTCTATTTTCCTTTATTCGTGTATTCTCAATGTTTTAACATATAACATCAGATTGGACATACTTGTCATTCAAATATGGGAGATGCTATAGTTACAAGTGGGTTTGTTCCACTGTCTTATCTTTCCCAGGCTTAGCAGTGAAGAATAGGTTTTGCCCCAATTGGGGAACTCTGTGGTGGGTATTATTTTTATGCTGCTGAATATCATGTCTGTAATAGACCCATGCATGCAGCCTTTGCTCCTTTTTTGGAGGGTCCTTGTTGATATTACCAGCTTTAACACATTTCTTACCTAGGAGCTCTGTTGCTGGGTGTGTAAGTCCCCAGCCAGTTACTCTCATGATATTCTGATGTGTGGCTCATTCTTGTGTGGTGTTCTGTGCTAGAGTCTGTGTAGTGCTATTCAGATTCAGAGTGGTTTGTTCCGTTTGCTCTTCCCTTAGAACCTGCTACAGTTTCTTTCTTTCCTTTTTTTTCCGCCCCCCTTGGGTGTGTGTGTGGGGGAGGGAGGGAGGATCAGATCAGACCTCTTCTATTTTTCATTCCATAAGCCCTGACATTATTTCAAGTTTTGTAGTATCTTAAGGTGTATATTTTATTTTTGTATTGTCTTAGTTTTTAAATTATATGAATCCAGAAAAGTTTGGCCTTTTCTCATGGGGAAACAAGTGGAACTATTCTTCAGAATGAACATCCTACTTGATCCCCCCCTCCCCTATCTTAGGCTTGTCTAACTTTCAGGATTTTTTCTTAATGAATCTTCTGAGAATTTCTTTCAAGAGAGCATCTTTATTAGCTTCAGAATGAACATCCTACTTGATCCCCCCCTCCCCCATCTTAGGCTTGTCTAACTTTCAGGATTTTTTCTTGATGAATCTTCTGAAAATTTCTTTCAAGAGAGCATCTTTATTAGATGGTTTGAGCTACAAGAACTGCCATTTTAAAACAATGGGACAATGGATGGTTTTTGTTCAGTAGACCTATGAAATGTATACAAACTGGATCTACAAACATATTTTAAACTGGACCAGGTAGATATTGAAGTAGCCCATCCAGATGTGCTCTGCAGTGATTTTGCTTAACATTCTGGTTTAGTAACTAAGACGTATGTTTCATGTCTGCTTGCCAGGCAGATAGCAGTGCTGTGGGGGTTGGGGGAGGGGTGCTGATTGGTGCCAAGCCTGTCCTGGTTGAGGGATAGAGCTTGGGCTGATGTGTTCTTTTCTTGTCAAGCCTCTTGCTAGGAATTTTATTGTTTTTTGTCTTTTTAAGAAAAAAATACATACTTTTCTGAATGTATCATGTCTTCATTAACAAAAGAAAATACACATGGTGTTTACTAAACTTGTTTACTATTTTAAAATTTTCTTTTTATTTTTAGTATCCCAGGTTCTTGAATTTTTCAAGACAGATTTTTTTTTTTCTTAGCTTGGGTAAAGTTCTAGGGAGAATAACTAATTAAGCCACAATTTTCTGTGTGAAAAGACAGTTTCCTTTCCAGGTCTTCTGATTGTCAGAGGGTGGGAGTCTGAGGGTGCTCCAGCAGCAGAGGATTCAGTCCCTGTGTGTGCTGGCCTCCAGCTCTTGTGCTCATGTGTACAGACCTGAGATAGCACTGCATTTTCTACTTACCGGATCTATTCGAACAGTAGTATTTGAAACACTAGCCTCGTAAATAAAAGTCTGCCCCATTGCTACTGTGCAGATATTGAGTCCGCTTTCATTTCTTGCCAGCACTGCCTTAGGCAAAAAGTGTTCATCTAGGTGTCACCAAAAATGAATAATTATAAAGGCAGTGTGTATTAAAATACATTTCATTTTCAAAATTGAGCTATCAGCTGTTAAAGTTTGTATATATTTTGGGGGGGATACCCTGTATTTTTCTTTCATCAACATCCAGGTTTGCTACAGTGACAGAACTTAATGCTTAGTCTTTGGATATCTCTCTCTCTCTCTCTCTGTCCCTCTCCCTCTCCTTTTCCCTCGCCCTCTCCTTCTTCCTCCCCTCCCTCCCTCCCTCCTCTATATAAATTTAATGCACCGTCCAGGTGAAATGTCCTAGTTGTCATTATGATTAAGGGGCCAACTTTGCAGAGGTATTACTCTATTCCTCTATCAGCAAATTTTAAGTCCTTTGTCCACCCATTCCTGCTACATTAAGTAGCAGCTGGTGATGACACTATAACGATTTCTGCGGTCGCATCTTGAATGTGGCTGGTGAAAGATGTACTGCCAGGGATGATCTGGGACCTGTTGTTTTGCTGCCATAATATTCTAGACTGTCATGGGCCTTTTTGGACTATATCTTTTGTCAAAAACCTGAACCTACACAAAACATCTGGAGTAGCTTATGCCCTGCTGTTACGAATTGTCTCATTGTTAAATTCCAAATTTCTTTATTTTTTCAGCCTAGTCACTGTTTACAGTTGTCCGCTAAAGCCTGAAATATTGTTTGTGCTGTGGTGTATGAGCATTGCCAGTTTATATTTATTGCAGTGAAGAAACTGAAAACATTGAAATCGTGGGCATGTCCACGTTCCTACGTCTGTGTGGGTGCATGTGGGAGAAGTGAGTTGGGGTCTCTTGAAAGAAGGCTTTTTGGAGTGGGACCTCCCAGCTTCTTGTTGGTGTTCCTGCTTGGGGATCACTGCTGCTCGCGGACTGGACCTCCCCGGCAAGTCTGTGATTCTGCTTTGGCAAAGTTTCATTGACCAGTGAACTCATTCTGTTGTAGTGCATATTTCAATATAAATGTAAACATTTCACTTAAACTTGCTGTCGTTCTGCTTCCTTTATCGTGTGAATGGAGAAAAGAAGGGGTGGGGTTTTTCCTATCATCTCACAAGCCAATTGGATACTTAGATCTGCTTCTTTTCTGTGTGAATGCACCAAGCTGACCCTCGGATTAATCTCCTTAGGGGTGTAGGCTGATAGTGTGGGATGAGCAGATACAAGGAATCCTAAGTAGATATATGGGAAAATTGTTAAAGAAAGTGTTTCAGATTGGTTAAGAATATCTGGCAGTTAAAAACAGAATTAGCTTTTAAATGATTAATTGGTCTTTTGACTCTTTTTCTCATTTCAGTCTTTAGAATTTATTCACATTGAAATGTCTCAGCTTCTACTGTTTCTCCATTTCTCACACTAATAATCACCAGTTTTCTGTTTTACACTGGAATATTACATAATGTGACTATGGAGCCCAGGACAGGAGACTTGAACATGGACACAGTTCTCATCTACTTCCCTCGCCTCCCCAAACCGAAACGCCGGCCCCACATGCAGCCTCTTTAGAGCGTTATGACTAGAACAAGGTTCAGTTGCTCAACTGACCATCAGGCCTGTCCCGATGACTAACCACACCCACCCCAGCAGTAAGGACAGCAAATTGCTATGTCATATCATGTTCTTAGCAGCTGAATATGTCTGTGGTTTTTGTAACATTCACCTTTATCACTCAAGTGCAGCAATGCTATTGGTCACAATGGCCTACTCCTAGGAGAGGACACATTTTGGAGATATTAAACTGAGGTGTTTTTGTTTTTCTGTTTGCCCTCCCCCCATATCTAATCACACCAAGTTCCTCCCACCCCAGAGCCCTTGCCTTTGTGAGCAGTGGGAACGCAGCCTGCGTCCTGGGCTTTGTTGACTGTGCCCACACTCTCCCCTGTGAACCTCTTCCGTGGCGCAGCAGTGTGGTAGGAGGGAAAGCCCTTGCCACATCTACTTGGGAAAAACTGACAAAACCAGCAGGAGAGTCCATCTACTTTTTCCCAGCCGTGATGGGTAAAATTTTGTTTTTTTAATCCTCATCCAAGGACATGCTTGGAGAGAGAGAGAAAAACATCGATGTGATAGAGAAACATCGATCTATTGCCTTCTGCACACACCCCTACTGGGGATCGAACCTGCAATCCAGGTATGTGACCTGACGGGGAATTGGACCAGCAACCTTTTGGTGTATAGGACGATGCTCATGCTATTTAGCCACACTTCCTGGGCTGATGGGTGAAATCTTAACTCAGCTACATATTTTTTCATAGTCACAAAGCAAAGACCTTAAATGTTTCGCTAAACAGTCTTGTTTTTTAATATTTTTAATTTTTTTCCTTAGGAAGGGAGAGGGAGAAACATTAATAAGAAAGAGAAACATTGATCACTTGCCTCCCTTACACGCCCTTAACAGGCCGAAGCAGTGACCTTTCAGTGCACAGGACAGGATGACACTCCACCAACTGAGCCATACTGGCCAGGGCCATCGTCCTTTTTTTGGCCTGGTGTTATGTTATACCTCTTGCATTTTGCTTACTTGCTGGTTTATTTTAGTTTAACTCAGCACATCAAAATACAGGGTGGGGCAAAAGTAGATTTATAGGTGTTCCTGTGGAAAATAATACAATCTATATAAAAGGCTAAGTGACCATCTGACTGGTAGCTATGACATGCAGTGACCACCAAGGGGCAGATGCTCAATACAGGAGCTGCTGAGCTGCCGTGACCTGGCAGCTGTAGTTCTCTGGGGACACACCCAGGAACCAGAGAGGAGGGAGCCCAATTTCGGGGTACGTCACCTGAGAACTGCCTTCTCGAAATCCAGGACCCCTCGGGGGATGTCAGAGAGCTGGTTTCAGCCCAATCCCCACCTGCTGGAGGGACCCCGCTCACTCTGCAAACGCCCTTCGAGCCCCAGCGCTGCCCCAGGTGCAGCTGGCTGGGGAGGGACCACAGGAAGCTGGTCCCAGGGCGTGCCCGGCCTGTCTCGCCCAGTCCCGCCCGGCCGGCCGCCACCTAATTAATTTCCTCTCAATGTGCACGAATCTGTGCACCAGGGCACTAGTGATCAATAAAAGTACAAGAATAAACTTGCTTGAACTCATTATTGTAAACCTACTTTTGTGCTACCCTGTATGTATCAAAAAAGACTAAATAGAAATATATTTTACA